TTGCAGCTCCACCACTTAGCCTTAGAAAGACAACCATAGTAGATGCAACTAGGGATTGTAAGATCCCTCGAAACTATCTACCCTAGGCCAGCCTTGGAATTCTTCACGACGTGCGCGACAGGTAACAGAATGCCTTTGTTGTTTATGGCACCGAGCGGAGTCCCCAAACTCCATCCCATCCTTTCGAGCATAGCTCTTCCCTTGTTTTCCGCTCCAATTTCCGGTGCTGAGGCTCCAACGACGTCGCCTTCCATATAGCTGACAGATGATGAAGGGTGACCACGAGAAGCCTTCGCCGGTTTCTTGTTGTTCTGGGACCGTGACTTGGGGCCACGGTGAGAGAGTTGAGACTTCGATAATATTCTTTCCACCTGTGTGATCGTTTTCTGTGTATGCCTTGGGGTGCGGGAAGTCTTGTACAGCATGGGAAATCTGGACGACCCTTTCCCGCGGGACTGTGATTTGAGTGACAGTGCGCCTGCCATGTCATGCACAACCTTCCTGTGATGTTTAGACATGGGCGGAAGAAACAAGCTGAACAAAGTCCGGGTTTCAGCACTCTAGGTTTAAAACTTTCAATAACGGCTGCAGGGAAACTCGTACCTTTCTTTCGATGATAGCAAGAAACTGCGCATTTCCAATTTTAGATCATCGACATCGAAGCCACTTGAATACTTAGCTCTGAGATCAGGCGCATTTGCATTCCGACCGAGTAGGCCTCCAGCACGGAGCTCTTCTCTCTGCTGTTTCCTTGTCTTTTTCTTCTCTCTGTCATTTCGCCATGCCCGTTCCAATTGCAGTTCCAGCTCGCTATCGGATAATGACAGATCAAAAGCACGCTGCTTCCCTTTTGTTTTGTTCCGCAGGCTGGGTCTGTTAAAGTCCATTATATCGAATCCATAAAATGGGTCCGATTCCAATGCGTCAGCAAAGGCGGTTGCCGAAGCGAAATGATTTTCCTTTGCTTTGCTGCGGTTACGGTGCGACCGAGGCAGACAACTGCTCTCTGTCTCGATCTCCGAGTGCTTGCCGATTTCCTTCGTTTCAGTGTCACTGCATTCGGAAGAGCTCGGGGAGCTATGTGCCCCGTCCGTCGAATTGGTGCAAAGTACCGCAAATCCATTCGATTTAGCAGTAAATCCTGGTGGCTTCAGCATGAGATAAGTGTTTGGATGCAGTTGACTGGGCATACCTCCGGAAGCCAGATCAGGGTCACTCTCATCTTCAGATTCAGCCAACAGTTGGCCGCGTACGCATGGAATTATTTCCTCCCCATTCTTTGGTGGCTCGGAACAGTCGGCATTGATCAGTTCAGCGGAGACAAGTGTAGACGCCGGCCTATCCATTTGACCGTTGTCGGACTCCGTGCTTGTACTGCGACTCAAATCAGTCCACTGACAGTAGTCTTCGTCAATGTTCGCTATGTAATCGGCCAATATGTCATTTTCTTCGTCTTCGCGAGGTCTCGAATATTGCTCTCCAATTAATGGGCGTCTGGGATTGAAGGGTATGAAATCAAAAGTCTCATCGATGGCACGTGGTTGTACTTGCTCGGCTCGCTGGGTTCGAAGTAGGTCTCCCGAAGCGTCTCCTGTTGTGGGACATGATTGTGTCGGTATTTTGTGGCTGTGATGTGGTAGCCAAGGCTGCGTTGAACCGTTATTATGCGGGCTACATTCGTTTCCTCTGCGATGGTCGGAGATTTCCTGCTCTTTTCGACGAGCGGGGCTCCTAGCGTTGCGCTGCCTGGATGGCCTTGATATTGGAGATCGGTTTTCGCCTGATGGTCCTCGAGCATACTTTGTTTTAAGGTGCCGTCCAGTAAACACTATTTCATCCTCGCTGGTGTTATCCCCTCCGGGGGTGACGTGGTCTATATGCTCGGCACCCGTAGAAATCTCCTCGTCCGGTGCAATAATAAAAGGCTGAGGGTATCGCATGGACTCTCCGTTGCGTTGTTCTGGGGGCAGTTCAGGTGGGGTCATTTCTATTCCCTTGTGCTGCATGTCCAAACTTTCCAGTTTTTTCTCATCGTTTTCTTGTGGACCTGCACTCACAAACTGCACTGCCTGATGACGGAAATTAGTACCCATCCGCCATATATTGCGCCCCTCAGTGTTTCGTGCTTCTTGCTGCATGGAGAGCTGGTGATGCATGTGAGCTGCAGCAAGTCAGTTGGTTATGGTCGGTCAGTTACATGTGGGGTGATGGACCTGTGTGCGATGTCCTTGTCACGGCCATCTGGTTGCTCGTGCGTGCTTTCGCCCTGCTGTGGCGAGCCATGTCTTCCCCCTTTTTGCCTTAGCAATATTACGGTCGTGAGATCAATTCTCTGGGTATGCCCTCTTCGTTTCAGTATCGATGCCCTCTTTCACTCTGAGTAGCACGCTGGCATTGCACTTTTTCTGTGTGCATTCCACACAGTTCTTATGTGTTGAGAAAAACTCGGTCTGTTGGGTTCTCTCAGAAGTTGGAACTTGGTGGAGTCAAAGATTTATCTAGTCTGTCATCCGTTGACATTGAAGGCGGTGTATATGGTGTTGTATGCATGTGACGTCCTTATCACTATATCCTTATCTGTGGTGGCAGCCATCCCTATGACGAAGTATGTCATTGGGTTGTTTTCGAGGCTTGTATAACTTTATGGATCACTGCCTATGTAACCGTCGTAGGGTTTGTATCTTTACGCGGTTGTCGTTGCTTATCCTCGTCGTCAGGTAGATGGTCTTGGTTTTTAGACCGTAACATACCACAACCGCTACGGTAGCTGAGGGGGGTTTATATATATATACATATATATGCTGCACGTTTACTACAGTCTCGTGACTGATGTTGTATGACGGAACCCCTCATCAAGACAACAACTACTGAGATCACCGCTAACCATAAATCATCATAGCAACAACAGATGACCGTACACTGTGGTATACTATTCCCTACACAGCCACACCATTTCAACGCCAGTAGGTGACTGAGATGAGCCTTTATATACTGATGTGCACAGGCAGCAAACCAACATTGACGTGAAACAATATAACGCAAACTAGTCGACCAGAGCGCCTCAGCACCCCCGCAGAGATCGACATACGGACCTGCACAAAACGCCATTCAAAATGAATGGGGTAGATATGGAACGCTGCAAGCGAATTATACAGTATATCTGGGACCCTGCACCCAGAAACGACCAACCAGAAGACCCCATCTGGTGCCTGGGAACCAAATACACAACGGATGGCACAGAGAGAGGCAATAGGCGCACCGGTAAGCCACGCCAGATGAAAGAGGAGCTGCATCTCTTTGGGCTGATACGTCCATAGCATCTCCCAAACCAATGCGACTGGCAAACGAAGAAGGACCAAGCCAGCTGGACCCAAAGGCTACAATGCCGGGCCTGTTAGACGAACAGGGCTGGCCTGAATCGTTCCTTCTCGACTTCGAATCAAGGATCTGGATTACCTACAGATCGAACTTTCCCCCAATCCCGAAGCCTATTAAACAGGATGCGTACTCCGCAATGACATTGAGCGTGCGACTGAGAAGCCAGCTCGTTGACCAACATGGATTTACATCCGACACAGGATGGGGTTGCATGATAAGGTCTGGGCAGAGCCTCCTGGCGAACGCAATGTCCATATTGTTATTTGGCCGAGGTAACAAGCAACGTCAACACTTTCAGCAATATATCCGGTATTCAAGCTGCAGTGAGCTAACATGCCTACAGGTTGGCGTCGAGGAATCAACACTGACCAGGAGGCTCAGCTATTGTCACAGTTTGCAGATCATCCGGATGCACCTTTCTCAATACATCGATTTGTCCAACATGGTGCCGAGTCCTGTAACAAACATCCCGGGGAATGGTTTGGGCCCTCAGCGACCGCCAGATGCATACAGTATGTCCCAATCACATTGGCCCATTAGCATAGCTTACGTATGAATTTAGGGCCCTTGTGTCTCAACATGGAAGCCTCAACCTTGGTGTCTACATGACTGATGATACAGCAGATGTGCATGAAGATAAATTTCTGGATGCTGCCCACGACGAGAGGGGGTCCTTCAGACCAACACTGATACTAATTGGGACGCGACTGGGAATCGATCGTATTACTCCCGTGTATTGGGACGCGGTAAAGACCACATTGCAACTCCCCCAATCCGTAGGAATAGCTGGGTACGTTATAACTCAAAAGATCCAAGATTCCCGGACCAGTGGTGACCAGATCTGCAGTGGACGCCCATCGGCATCGCATTACTTCGTCGGTGTTCAAGGCTCACACCTTTTTTACCTTGACCCTCATCAGACCCGCCCAGCGTTGCCACAGCGCAGTATCGATGAACAATACACCAATGAAGAGATAGAAACCTATCATACTCGACGCCTCAGGAGAATCCACGTTCGAGACATGGATCCGAGCATGCTTATCGGCTTCATTATAAAAGACAAAGAAGACTGGACACACTGGAAGAGCGGGGTATCTGTTCAGGGGAAAGCTATCGTACATGTGCTCAGCGAATCGGACACTGCTGTCTTCCATGGCCGTGAAGGGGCGATCGATGAGGTAGAGGTCTTGGATGATGATTGAAAGAGAACAGCGGATGCTCTGTAATATGCGAAGTATGGAACCCGAACCAAACAAGCAATGTGGAACTGCTATTCAAATTACCCCAAACCGAGGCGACTATGAAGAATATGTTGCATAAGCAAATGAGATTCCGATTTATGGTAGGGGAAGGAAAATCGTGCAACCAGCCCCAAAATCCGAGTTATGTTACACCGCATTCTCGTCGCGAATGAACCATGAACACATTCAACCCAAAAGGGCATCAGGAGAGTAAAAAAAAAGAAAAAAAAAAATAAAGAGAATATCAAACCATCCCATGACACATTAAAAGACCCTCAAACACCCTGTAACCCACCGCCTCAAAACCATGAAGATAAGGAGGCAGTAAAAATGACAATCCCGAGAAACAAACACACAAGGCAAAAGCAAGATGCGACATGCCTATTTGGCAGAAGAAGAGTACTTCGTGACAGCCTTAGTGCCTTCCGAAACGGCGTGCTTCGCCAACTCACCAGGGAGGATGAGCCGAACACTTGGAAAAAGAATTAGCGTAATTCGTATAATGTATAAAAGGGTTTTACTCACGAAGTCTGGATCTCCCTCGACGAGATGGTGGATTTCTTGTTGTAAGCAGCAAGCTTCGATGCCTCCGTGGCGACGCGCTCAAAGATATCTGTAATGGATTAGAATACAATCGGTTTCAAATGTTTTCGGGTTGAAAATACCATTGACAAAAGAGTTCAGGATAGACATGGCACGAGTCGAGATACCAGTGTCAGGGTGAACTTGTTTGAGAACTGCACCCTGGTAAGCTTCCGCACTACATATCACCAGTGGCATTACTTACCCTTGTAGATGTAGGAGGAGTAGGTTTCCTTCCTAGTCTTGCCACGCTTCTTCTTGTCGCCAGTGGCAGCAGCAGCGGTCTTCTTGCCGGCTTCCTTCTTCTCAGCAGGAGCCTTTCCAGCGGGCGCCTTGCCACCAGTGCTAGGCTTCTTCTCGGCAGCTTTGGGAGGCATTTTGTGAGTAGAAGATTATCAAAAGAAGTTATTAACTAAATAGAGCTCGAGAGAATAGATTGTGGTTGTGTTGAGGAAACTTGACGTTCGAACGTTGTGCAGATGGATTGAGAATGAAGATGAGAATGATGGAGACGCGGTGACGAGGGAGGCGCGCTACTTATACCAGCCTGCGAAACCCCAGTTGATCTGAAGTACGCGAAAGAGACAGAATTTCAATACGGTCACACCTTGGTATGATCTGTATGATTAAAGCAAGATAATTAAGTTCAAGTACTACAAACACTAGGGTGAGGTCGTGCCAAGACGGATGTAATAATTATTACATTGAAATATTACAGCACTTAACTTGATTTGGAACCCCAACACTGTACTAGGCCACACAGATCGTAGCTCACATGCGTAGCCAAGCTATTGGAGCGCTGGACCATGATCTTTTTGGTGATTGGTCAGCCCCGCTAAGCGAGAGGGTGATCTGAAAGGCGTTTGGGTAGGCCAACGTCACCCTGAGCGCGTCATTATAAATCTCCTGGCTTTCCTCGCGCTGACCACCCAGTCTCTTGGTTTACTTCAACGACTGTCCGTCTACTACACGTCCGCCGCGTCCTCGATTTGAAAAATCATCAACTCTATCAAAACCACTACCACAGTTTAACCTTGACCACTTAATCAGACAAAATGACTGGAGGCAAATCTGGAGGCAAAGCCAGCGGCAGCAAGAACGCGCAGTCGTAAGATAGCCCTGTTTTACCATGAGCCTTCGAACCATGCTGACATGAATTTAGGCGCTCTTCGAAGGCTGGACTTGCCTTCCCCGTTGGTCGTGTTCACCGTCTGCTGCGCAAGGGTAACTACGCTCAACGTGTTGGTGCTGGTAAGTCTTTACGCGATTTAACTCATTGTCTTTGTTTTTGCGGTTCTGACTATAATACCCTTGTATAGGTGCTCCGGTCTACTTGGCCGCTGTTCTCGAGTATCTCGCTGCTGAAATCCTGGAGTTGGCTGGCAACGCTGCCCGTGACAACAAGAAGACTCGTATCATTCCTCGCCATCTCCAGCTTGCCATTCGCAATGACGAGGAATTGAACAAACTGCTTGGCCACGTTACGATTGCGCAGGGTGGTGTCTTGCCCAACATCCACCAAAGTAAGTTTCGCACTTGGGTTTTGTCTTGGCTATATTTTCTAACCAATCTCCAGACCTTCTACCCAAGAAGACTCCCAAGAGTGGAAAGGGTCCTAGCCAGGAGCTTTAATTGTCATATTTTTCTTTCTTTCCTGTTCGGGTTTTCTCAATCGGCGTGCTTTGGTTTCTCATGATGTGATAACGGGGTTCTGGACTGGGCACAAATTATGGCTCTGTTTTTCATGCTTTGATTTATGGTTGTACATTATGCTTACGGGCATTGAATGATACCGACAGCTTTCTTAATGAAATTTGTCTTTCGGACGACTGAAGTCTCAGTATATTTGATGCTAAGTAGACTTAAAGAGGTCTGCAGCTTCCGTAGTTCTTTCAATACGCCCAAGCATTTCTGCGCTTTCCTATAACTGTTCAAAGCAACGTCCAGGGTACAAGTTGCGAGTTATGTTACTAAAACGCCAAGTCTATCTTCGAGTAGGGAACCTATTGTAAGCTCGTCTAATTGACGCAAATATATGGACCTGGTACGCCGTCCAAGCTCAGTGGGCATCTGCATGTTGAGAAGCATCTAAGACGTATGTCAAACGAGGCAAAATCGACAGATCAAATGGTGTAACATACAAGGTAACTGCGGAGCAGGAAGGTTTCTCTCATATTTACTGCCTGGGAGACATTATCAGCCAATTGCGCATGATGCAGCCCTTTTTCTAACTTATCAGACTTACCACCAGGGGCAGTAGGTGCGCGGTACGGGTCCGGGTGTTTCCAAGTTTCCAGTAATTTCTCGGTTTCGCGGAGTAACACCTGCCATATTTGTTTGTATAAGCTGATGACTTGGGTTGTGCAACGGCCAGACGGTTGCTGGGGTCAGAGGGAGTTTACTCTTTGTTGACGAGGATCACGAACGTCCTTATTTGCCTCAAACAGGGACCGAATATACACAGCTTGTCCTCTCCATACGTGTCTGTGAACTGCCCAGTCAAGGGCAAGCTTGAGACTCCGTCGGTAGAGTGACCTGAAAAGCGAAGCTGAGATTAGCAACGCAGCCTATTCTTCCTTCTGAGAGCAACTTACGCAACGGCGTTAGCAGACATGATTTCTCTCTGTCAAAGTCGTAGGGAAAGAAGACCCTGAGACCTGACACACCGACTGCAGAGAGGGAACGCTAGCTGAAGAACAAATTTGTAGATTCTAATGATTGTTCGAAATTCTGTCCACTCACTACAGGGCAGTTTCTCTTGAGAGGCGTACCTAGTGAATTTGATAGGGTGCGCCGAATCTGCCATGTTGGTCTTTATGGAAAGCCGAACAAGCGTAATAATAATACTCCGTCATCCACCGGGTGCATGGAACGCAGATGATGTGCGTGTGTTGCTGAGGGAAATTCCGGTTCTTTCGGCCCGGGGTTGAGCTTTCGTCCCTGGTCACTGCGCTAACTTAAAGTTCCGTCACTCTGCTATCCTGTACCTTCGTACTGCAACGTCGAGTGAAGACGTATTGAACAGGTCTTCAGTAGGTTATTCTGGGACCATAGGTTTCCTCTCTACTATCAGACAATCGTGTCAGATTCTCTTGCTCCTTAACTTCTGTTTACTACCCAACCAAGTCGGGTGAAATATGGCGTCTAGGTTACCATTTCACCGTCTGTCAGAGCTACACCTGAGGTCCATTCCTCGAACAGCTCAATGCTCCCGCTTGCCTTGCATTGGTGCTCGCAGGAGTATTACCTCTTTGGCGCTTAGAAGGCATAAGACTGGCGCGGTTTTGCTGCATGCTCCGTCCTCGGGGTAAGGACATTGGAGGTTCACGTTAATTTATCTGCTCTGGCTAACCGTCGACATTCCATAGAGCCAATATACCCCGGAGCAGTCTCGCCCGCCTCGGAGGCTATCAGATCAGAACTTACGGTATCGCAATTTGCTTCGGTTACTTATGATGTTCTTCGCTGATCTCGCTGCAGCTGATACCATAGTGAAGGTCCCTCAGATGGCAGAATCGATCACCGAGGGTACATTGAAGCAATTTTCGAAGCGTAGGTCTCTTGACCAGTTTGCAGGTCTTTCACTTACCGTTCGGCAGAGGTGGGCGATTACGTTGAGCGGGACGAAGAAATCGCTACAATTGAGACAGACAAGGTAGGGTTTCAGCGAATGTCACATACCGTCCACATTGCTTGAAAGTTTTGCCAACCCATTACAGATCGATGTGTCGGTCAATGCGCCTGAGTCTGGGACTATTAAGGAGCTCCTCGTGAACGAAGAAGACACTGTGACGGTTGGCCAGGATTTGGTCAAACTCGAATTAGGTGGCGCTCCTGGGCCAAAAGAGGAGACAGCTACTGAAAAGCCGAAGGAGCCCGCAGATGTCAAGCAGCCTCCTGCAGAGTCCAACAAGCCACAGCCATCAGAGGCCCCCAAAGCTCCGTCGCCTCCGCCTGAACAGCCTCCTACTTCCAAGCCTCAGCGTCCTGCTCCTAAGTCAGAGACTCCTTCTGACGTTAAACCGACCTTCGAAGGTCGTGAGGAACGTAGGGTGCGTTTACAGTTCCCTTCAACATCTGTGTTATCTCTCTTACACTTGCTAACTTGCGGCTCTTATGTTACTTCTTGGGGATAATAGGTGAAAATGAATAGAATGAGGCTGAGAATAGCCGAGCGCCTGAAGCAGTCCCAGAATACCGCTGCCTCGCTCACTACCTTCAACGAGGTTGACATGTCATCCCTCATGGAATTCCGGAAACTCTACAAAGACGATGTACTGAAGAAAACGGGTGTCAAACTTGGCTTCATGAGCGCTTTTTCCCGTGCCTGTGTCCTAGCTATGAAAGATGTCCCCGCCGTTAACGCATCGATCGAAGGCCCCAATGGTGGTGATACCATTGTTTACCGCGACTACGTTGACATCAGCGTGGCTGTTGCTACTGAGAAGGGCCTTGTGACACCTGTCGTCCGTAACGCTGAAACCATGGATCTCGTCGGAATTGAAAAGGCCATAGCAGACCTTGGCAAGAAGGTCAGTGGCATCATGCGACTGGCTCGCATCTTCTGTGACTGATATTTTTTTAGGCACGGGACAACAAGTTGACAATCGAGGATATGGCTGGTGGCACTTTCACCATTAGCAACGTAAGCAGCATGATTCATGACGTGACAAGATCGTTGACATTGTTTTAGGGTGGTGTTTTCGGCTCTTTGATGGGCACTCCGATCATCAACTTGCCCCAGACTGGTCTGTGCTCTCTCCCTCGTTCTTTTCGGACCGAATCCTAACTTTTCAAAGCTGTTCTTGGACTCCATGCGATCAAGGACCGGCCAGCAGTCGTCAACGGTAAAGTGGAAATTCGTCCCGTACGCATTGCCATAGTGCCCCAACTTGATGTCAGGCGCTAACGTTTCCAGATGATGTATCTTGCCCTGACCTATGATCATCGACTTTTGGATGGACGGGAGGCGGTCACTTTCCTTATCAAGGTTCGTTGAATTTTGTTCGTTGTTTGACACATTCCGCTGATTATGATTCATTCAGGTCAAGGAATACATTGAAGATCCTCGTCGGATGTTGCTCGGCTAGTGGCCTCTTAAGTTCGTCCAGGGGTATCTACTGCTCCTCTTTTTTGTAAAATACTATCTTATTGGCCATGGCATTCACCATACACTTCGTTCAGATCGCTGCCGAGACTGTTGTTTAGCTATCGGCATAAGTTATGAATAGTAGTTCATGCGCTCAAAATGATAAACGCGCTATGTTGGTTGTAATCTTTATGGCAGACTTATTATCATCGCAGTCCAACCTTGGCTTTCAGCCCCTGTGTTTCTGCTCGGCTCAGTCCATAGAGCTTCCCTCTCTCGAGCTGTAACAGAACCGGCGGGTTCAGGCACCTCATGAGATCAAACAGGAACTCGATAATGATGGTTCCAAGTTGATGCGTAGGCAGGCGTTTCAGTGGGGTTTCCAGGTCCTTGGACGGGAGAACCCCGAGCGGTGGCTGTAGGTAAGTTTCATACTTATCAGCCACTCGTTGCCAGTCAGGCTTTCTTTTAAGCGTCTCTGGGGCTTGGGCTATCAATTCATAAAATATGTCGGGCGTTATACCCCCATGAGAACCAAGTTTCTCGAACGCAGCTTTTAGCAAGAGCTGGGCTGCAATATCAGCCCAGTTAGTGTCGGACAAATGGTTATTTGCGACGATGCACAGGGAGATGAATGCATAGGCGATGGCAGGAGAAATGTCCAGTCTTGCTTGGGTACGGTCGTTGTTCGTACAAATGTGTGGTCTCCGGGGCTCGGTTTTCAAGTGTGGTGGGTAGACTTGACGTTCAGTCGAGACCGTAAAATCTTCCTCCTGCTCTCCAAATCCATGCCTTGGTGATTGATTGTTTGCTGCTGTGCTATGATATTGATTCTGGTTGCATGTAGTTATGAATTCGAGAAGCTGAAGCTTGATGCGCATATCGCGGGAGATTGTCTCGGCATGTATCAGCATCGGTGTCAGGGCTGTGTGAGCGATAAACGGCAAGATGGCGTCCATAGTCAGCACAACCTTTGGTGCTTACGACGGTGCTTGTATTCCAACATACTATTGACGGTTTGGATCAACCAAGTGGTATTCTGATCCTTGCAGTGCCATCCCTTCTCTTTTTCTTGTGTGCAGAGGAACGTGTTGATGGCAGTGCACAGCAGATAATCAAGTATAATTGTATCAACCTCGACCTGGGTGGCTGGATCTACCTTGTGGTCTTTCATCTGGTCCTACCTGACTCGGTGAGTTGATTCACTTTTGAGGGCTTGATTGTTCGGGGTGTAACGTTTAATGGATGTGGCAACAAAAGTTATACACCTTCCAAGTGACCATGACTTGGGAGTTAACTTATTAGGCCAGTGGGGAGTAATCGCGTTGCAAACAGGATAAGTATGGTTATGGTTGTGATTAGAAATGTGTCGCGTATGGTTTGTTAGGTGGGCTTTGCTAGTAAATTTAATGGTGTGAATGATTGATATAAAACTGCTGCTTGTCCAGAACAATATTTATCATCCGTGTTATTATATATATACATATATACACGGAGTACAACTGGACACAGAGTGGGTCACATGTCCAAACATTAATTATTGTGACGTACCCTGTACATAGCATATGAATTGATACGAGGTTGACTACTGAGTGAAGCGACACTTTAGTATACAGAGTACATAGAAGCAAATATCGATTAATTCAGAGGGAAAGCCGATGGTCTCTAGGTATACAGAAAGGTAAAGCCCATAAACAACAACAACTAGCCTGTCAATAATGTAGATCGAAATTGATATGCATACCTGCTCTAGGGAGGGACCCATAGGCCAGAAAAGCCAGTAACCTCCACTGAGGCAATGGACAATAAAAAGCTGCCAAAGAGTGTAACTGTACCTGCTTATCATCATCATATGATTATGACGCATTAGTGAGATTTATGCACTCCGATAAGAGCCTTTCCACTCATGCAATGGTGCTCCGATGACACCGATGACATCCGCACATGAGGTACTCCGTAATATTGACATAATGGGAATCTCCCGCCGCATATGACTGCTCCCATAGCGCCCATTCTATCCATCACTTAAACACCATACGTGTTGTCCGAGTGGGATATTCTCTCATATCTAACAGGCGATTTCTGAATGCTGAAAAGGCACATAAAGACAACCACACTGCTGAGAAAACTTACAAGAAAGCAGTCTTCAATGGCTTGGTACTGTTCTGGCACCACAAATGCTGAGTTGATCGAGAACCTCTGTAAGGAAGGACTGATTAAAAGTGATCGGGTGAAAAAAGCTATGATGGGCGTGAGCTTCACTTTGCTTCTACCGCTGCCACCACCCAGCATCCTTCACTCCATTAGCCCAAGAATAAAATCACTCACTTCCTGAGATTCTGACACTGAAATTCCAAGGTTGATCGCGCCCATTACGCGCCCTCGAGGCCATACTCCGACTCGCCCCAACCTATCGGACATGGAGCGACGATTTCGGCGCCACATATGCATGGCCATGCTTGCGAATACTTAGTTGACTTCCTCAAGCCGGGATCCCGGGTATTGGATATCGGCTCAGGATCTGGGTATTTGACACATGTTTTCGCCAATCTTGCTACAGACGGGTCTTCCAATGGTGCCAGTGTTCAGGTTATCGGAGTGGACCATATCCCGGAACTTGTTGACCTGGCGCGGGCGAACATGAGGAAGTCAGAGCAAGGTCGCACTCTCTTAAATTCCGGAAAGGTGAAATTTATCACCGCCGATGGTCGGCTGGGCTGGAGGGAAGGAGCCCCTTACGATGCAATCCATGTGGGCGCAGCAGCAGACAAGCTACACCCGGTTCTCATTGAGCAGTTACGTGCCCCAGGACGCTTGTTCATACCCGTTGATGTGGAAAATGATGGTGGCACCCTAAGTAGCTTTGGACTCGGTGGTGGACAGTACATATGGGTTGTTGACAAGAAAGAGGATGGCTCTGTTCACAAGGAGAAGATTTTCCAGGTTAGCTATGTGCCATTGACGGATGCGCCGAAGTGATCAGCCCAACACCTCCCCTGATACGTCCATTCACCTATCTAGTGATAATCTAAAACTCCTGTTACGAACGGGAGAAAGAGAAGGAAAGTAATAAACGGGAGCAGACAGAATGCAGATTCACAAGGAGAATTGAATGCCATATCACACTTCCTCAAATCTGACCGAGTACGTACACTTTGCTGTTCTAAATGGAAAGGGAGGAGGGATTGATCATATTCCAATAGGCGGGGAAATGGTAGCGTGCCTTTCGGGCAAGTGCGAAAGTGCGAAAGTGCAGAGATGTGGGAATAAGGTAGACTGCAGGGTGAGCTGCAGGGTCAGTTGTATACAAAGATGCTAACGGAATGGAAAGCCTCGGGGAAAGTTGAATCCTTGACCCGAGAATTTGAAATGTGGCGCGCCTTGCTGGAAGAAGAATTGCTGGCCGCCGGCGGCACCAAAGGGGTTTCCCTGGAAGGGATTTCCCCTCTGAGACTCGGGGTCGTTGGGGTCGTCGCCGTTGTCATACCGTGCTCTAAGTTCGGGGTCCGACAAAACTTCGTATGCCTCGTTTATAGCGGCCATCTTCTTCTCTGCTTCCTCCTTTGAGACGCCCTGGGAGACGGCTTTGTCAGGGTGATGCTGCTTTGTCAACTGCCGATAAGCTCTTTTGATTGTGCGCTCATCTGAGTCACGACTGACGCCGAGGACTTTGTAGTAGTCCTTATGCTTGGAGCGTTTCAACAACACATGTGCTTTCTGCATAAGCGTCTGGATTTCCTGAGAGCCCGGGTGATGTTCTCTGGCTTCGTTGAGGGTGCGAATAGCGTCCTCGAAACGCTCCTCGTCAAGCGCCATCTGACCCTTGAATAGAAGGGCAGCCAATGAATGTGGCTTCAGCCGGAGAATTTCGGTGCAGTAAGGAGCAGCCCGTTTGAGCATATTAACCTGTAATCAAGCATATCCAGTCAGCTGCGGCAAATAGGAAGCATTATCTTCTGGAATCACTGACCTCACGGTAGGCTTCGCACGTCTGTTCAACTAAGGATGAGTGTAAATTGCTCGGGGCTGCAGGATGGATGTGGCCAGCGTCTTTCGCACTCTCGAAGTCATCCTTAACCTCATCAAGCAGACCCTTCTCCTCCCCTACACCTACAAGTAGGTTGATAGCGTTGTTGAACTTTCGTGAATCCAGCGCTTTTTGTAATTTATCCAGCCTCTTCATTAGCTGCCTTTCTTTTTTGTAAAGCTGAGCACATGCTTTCGAATCTGGGTCCGAATGCAAACATTTGCGAATTTGCGATATGCCCCGTTCACTGTCGCCTAGAGCATAGAATGACATTGCCGATATTTGCAAATGAGGCTCGATCAAGCCCGGAGAGAATTGCAGGACATGAACAAGGTCGCTGATTCCTTCTTCCACTTCACCCTTCTCAAAGCGACAACGTGCCCGAGTTTGCCGTAAAGCCAGTGACGTGCTCGCCTTGAAGATCGCTGTATTGGCTTGGCCTATACAATCGTCCCACGCACCTCGTTTCTCCGCGTCGAACGCTTGGAAGGCGGCATCGCGTGCCTCTTGTGTTTCTCTATACTCCTCCGAAAGCTTCTTGCCAGCTCTTTCAAAGTCATGCAGCGCACCGTCCCAGTCAGCAGTCTTGGCCCTGAGGCGAGCTCGTTGGAGGAGTGCGCTTTCAAAGTCCGGTTTGAGCTGGAGGACACGGTCAAAATCGTCTAACGCTTGCGCATTTCGTCCAAGAGACAGATAAGCAGCACCTCGCTGAAAGATTGTGAGATAGTTGCTTGGATCTCGCGAGACAGCGGCATCGAAGTAGAGTAGAGCATCGCGTGCAGAACCACTAGCAAGATGGGCTTTTGCCGAAGCGACCAGAGACGACAAAGGAGTATCAGGGGGTATCTCCGCAGACTGGAGGCCACAAGCAACTGAAAAACAGGCCAGGAAAACAGTGAAGGACTCCAAAGTAATGAGCATTTTGGCAGTTCAGCCCATAAGATATCGTTGAGACCTATGGTATCACACGAGTCTCTGACAAACAGCGCATAATAGAATTCACTCCTCAGCAGCACTTAACCTGCTTCAAGGTGCGAGCTGTGAATAAGTCAGGTAGACAGCTTGAACTATGGAAAATCTGAAGGATGGCAACACAGCAACAGGACCTTGAAAGAGGTCGCTGGGCGAGTTACATAGTGAGGCATTCTTTATATACTGTTCGACCAAGTTTCGTAGATATTCTATCTAAATATACTTAACTTCCAGTCTGGCCTTTACAGACCCATTACAGAATACTGTATTATATTCACGTGACAAAATCTGGTGGATGGATGTATATCTCGTCCCAAGTACACATCCAGAAATCCGCAAATTTGAAGGTGGAGGTTCCCTACTTAATCAGTGTATAAGGGTGGCAGCTCAGAAGCAGTGTGATTGAAAAGGCACTTACTACCTGGTCTCCAAAAGTGTTCAATCGCGCCAATTTAATCAGCCATAGTTCCATCACCTTGCCCGCCATTCAGAACGCACGCAAAGAATTGAGATTGAGCTCTTTCTTCCATACCGCTTTTTCTCTCATATTTAACTCACAATGATTGGCTTCTCATGGATATGCTCTCGATGTCTTGCCCGAACTGCTCGAACCACATTGAGCCATAGGACCGTCTCACAACCGCGGAACCTGAACACGAGTAGGGATACTTTGACTGCTACGTAAAGCAAAGGGTCTCCCGCATACATATGGGCTAATCTTTCCACCAGGTTCTCATCTCTCACCGGCATTACTAACGCGGGCTCGCTCCTTGGCGGCTGAACATACCAGACTTTCCACCCAATTGACAGACTCATTTGACGCAAGGATTGCGAAGCGAGTGGGCGAACTTGCGTCAATCGCGCAAGCCTTGCAGGAATGGGATCGCGCGCACGAGGCAAGTCGAAAATGAAAGGATTGCTTTATCTCGTGATTCTTGACTAACATCATTATTCTGGTCTCAGTCCCTATCGGAACTCAGATCCTTGATTGATGATCCAGAGACCGACGACGAGCTAAGATCTCTTGCTCTCGAAGACTTAAAAAGTAGCGACCGTACTTTGCCAGCCATATCAAAGACCCTGAAAAACTCCCTTGTTCCTCGCCACCCCTTTGCAGGTCTTCCCTGCCTACTGGAAATCCGCCCCGGCGCAGGTGGAGACGAAGCTGGCCTTTTTGCTTTCGAGCTCTTGAGGATGTACACTGCATTTTGTACTCGACGTGGCCTACGGTCCAATATGATGAAGCTCGACGTGCAAGACGGGCCTTCAGATGATCGCCTGAGCGAAGCAGTTATGGAGATCGACGCAGACGGAGCGTATGATCTTTTGAGAACTGAGTCTGGGGTCCATAGGGTGCAGAGAGTGCCGGCCACGGAGACCAAGGGTCGTACCCATACAAGTGCGGTCAGCGTGATGGTTCTTCCCAGCTTCCCAGAGGCAGGGGCCGGTATGGACAGTGCTTTGAATTTCGACGACCCAAACAGTGACTACTATGTTGATCCTCAGGAAGTCCGCACCGAGAAGATGCGCGCGAGCGGAGCCGGAGGTCAGCATGTAAACAAGACCGAGTCAGCTATCCGGTTGACTCATATACCCACTGGAATTGTCGTTTCAATGCAGGATTCCCGGTCTCAGCACGCGAACCGGAAAAAGGCATGGCAAGTACTACGAGCGAAATTGGCCGAGGCTAGACAAGAAGCTCGTGAGCAGGAACTCGTTGAGTTGAGAAGAGGTGTTCTTGGAGGCGTCGCTCGGATGGGTCGTGGTGACAAAATCCGCACATACAATTATGGACAGAGTCGTTGCACTGACCACCGTAGCGGCATTACAGTGCACAATCTGGACAATGTTCTTGATGGCGGCGAAAGTCTTGAGACCATAATGGATAGTGTCAGAACCTGGCTGGCTGATCGGGAGATAGCAGCCATATCTGCAGAAGATTCGATAAATGCCGTCGGGGAGTAAAGTTGTCCTTTACATCAGCGCCGAAATTGATATTAGCATGCATGACCATCCTCAACTAACTGTTAGGTATTGGCCAATTGGTGCGGTGAAACAAAGTTCACTCCAATTGCCAACCTTGAACCCCGTGACCGCTTCGACAATATATACAACTAAAGCATCTAACTACTTATAAGGTGTTCCGGCGTCATATGTATTTCCTCTCAGGATCGATAGAGTCGAGAGCCTCCATTGTCTTCTCGTACCTGGTTGTGATGAATTAGCACCCGAAAGTGTGGAGGAGGACTTTTCCCGACGAACATTGTGAACACTATTCCTCCACTCATGATCAATCTTGCTAGACGTGGTACAGCCCCTGACCAGAAAGTAAGCAAGCCTTCGTCTTTGAAAATTCGCGCGGCGCAGACGAAGCTGTTTTTGTAATTTTTACTGGCTTCGAGCGATTGCATTCTGCTGAGGGGTCAATACCAATCTATAGGCGCAAATCTCAAGTTCTTAAAGGCTCACCTGGTTTTGACAGTGTCAAGAGGCTGCGTAACATAGCTGCGTGGAAGCAATATTAGCATATCGAATAGTGATGGACACAGCTCATAACGTTGTCCCCCGGATACGAAGGCTTGCGTACACTGTAATGAGGCCCGCTATCCCACCGAGGGCGAATGTACTGGCAGTTCCTAGCTTCTCGCCGGGTGCGACGTAGCCCTGAGCCAATTGTTTCAACATAGTGTAGCTTGAGAATCTGGTCGCCGAGTTGGCCGCCTGTCTCGCTGTTGTAGGAACGAAGCCTTGAAAAAAGCCCCGAAGGCCTCTTTCCTGAAAGATGATCTTACTGCCGTGCAGGAATCCACGCATACGAGGATTTGGGGATTTTCTATCGTCGATTCTGTTTCCCCTATGTCAGTTGCACGGCGCACACTGGTAACAGTTTGTGACCCGAATATCTGGGGGTTGGGCTAGGGTATTCAAGTGAGGTGACAACGAACAATTGCGTCTTGATGCTTTCGAACGGAGTCACTGCTAATAGGGACTCTGTGAATCCGGCTCCGAAGCCGGCAATCACAGTCCTTGGTCCGGATATATTGCCATTTTCATCCTGAAGTAGAGATTTGAAGGTGTCGAAGGCAACGAAGCCTTAAGGATATTCTAGCGTGAGTCTATCAAAAAGTTTGGACAATGGTAGCGCAGCACCACCCGATGGAACTTACGTATGCCAGCCTTAAGAGAATTTCCTATGATCAAAGTCGTGCATCCGGCATACCATTGTTTTCCAAATGGTGGCCATGGGAGCTTTTTGGCATCGGGTAGCCGGCGATTGAGCTGCGTTCGTGTCTTCGCGACTGCACAAATTTATTAGCCTAACATATCATAAAGGATGAGATAATCTGACACTCCGCTGGATAAGTTATCGCTGCTATGGAGTCAGCAGGGGTATCTTCTAGTAACGGGCGATTCCAGCGACAGTGAACTTGCCAATCTCAACCGCTCCCGCGGAAGAGCCCGCAATGATAGACCGCAGGCTGCTGGGCTATAATGAAGTCAGTGATTGCGCGAAACCGGGTGTTATTTTGACATGCCTGACCTTGGACTTAGGATCTTTTTCCGCAGTAGCCATTTTCAAATCCGAAATGTGTTTGACGCTTGTAAGCAAGAACTATTACTGCTGGAGGTAGGGAGCGCCGGTATCTGGAATACGGGATGCAACATACGCACCAAACGCAGAATAGCCTTCTCCAGTATCTATGGGGTGACTCGCGCTCTACAAGTTATTTATGAGTAACCTATATGATGAGTAGGTCTCCTATCCAATATACGTGAGAAGTATTCGAGAGCTCTGACAGAGGGAAACATTTACATTTTACTAGATGCTACCAATGTTAAGGCTATCATATACCCGGAATGGGTTGGTACCATCCAGCACTCCTCTGCCAGCGTTTTTCTTAACTTTTCTTCCCATTTTCTTCCACCCAAGTCTTCCTCTTTTTTTCCTTTTTTTCCCCCCCTTTTCTATTTTGTTGTATGTCGGGAGTGTCCGTATGTGAGTTTTCTCCTTTCACTCTTTGATCATCACATCCTCTCATCCGAGATGAACCAAGCCCTGTAACCATCTGAATCCTGCAGACCCATCCCTCGCTTGTTGGATTCCTTATCAGTATTTGATTTCTGCGTTGCTTTGCAGAAAGGTGTCCTTCAAATATGCGGCGAGAATGGAAGACAAATAAGTGGCGCAACTCCACCTTGACGTAAGATTGATGGAAGTTTTGGCATGCCGAGCCAGGGTGAGCACACTCAGGAGCACTCATTGCCCATGTCCTAGCTTTCATGTTCGCCAGGACACAGGTAATCTAGCGAGAGTGGAGAATGAGAAGACTGAATCCGAAAAGTATCAGACAAGAACTCCGGAACCCCATCAGATGTACGGAGTCAGGTACGAATTTGAGATCACGAAAGTGCAGCCTCGAAGCCATGACGGACATGAAAGGGCTGAACACGACTGGCCCATCAGAAGTTGAAAAATGTCGCCGTAATTCTCGTTCACCTGACAAGTCGAAGACAAAGATAAGCCGATAATGCACCAGTGCCTTGCGGGAAGACACCTGTGAACGCCGAAGAGTGACACCGATCGAGAACACCCTGAAACGCCAACCCGTTGCTTTGGAACAATGGAAGGTATGTACAAGTTGAAAAAAAAAAAGAACTCAAGAAAACCGGGCATAACTGGCACCGGATCAAGCAAATAACGAGATCAAATGATGCAGTGAAGGTAGAGCCCAAAGGAAAAGCCACATACACTACAATGAAGTAGTGCAAACCGTACGGACAATCCGAAAAACCCGCTTCTCACGGCAAAAGAGGAGAGAACGGCAAGATGTGCGCGCAGTAAATCAGAGGGAATAAACAGATCGCCAGAGCCAAGCAAATGAATCGGAAAAAGGACAGGAGGCCCCAAATTGCGGGACGGTCTCTCATTGGTCGAGTGCAAGCAAAAGGGAGCGAACAGATCGTAGACATTCAGGTCATTACTTCAAGCAAGTGAGAGATAATGACAGCGAGATCATGACACCGGCGCTGTTGAAGTCTTGCCACTGTGTTGGCCCTGAGGGTGACCGAACTTGGTGGTTTCGGTTTGCGCGCTCCGGCGCTGAGCCTGCCCCCGACCACGGTATGAGCCACGGCCTCGATTGAACTGGTATTGCCCACTATTTGGATGATTATGATGGCGGCGGTCTGCAGTGCTCGTACCTGCCGGAGTATTCGTTAATTGACGTGGCTGTGATGGATTGGAGATAGGACGAGGAATTGTCTCAGGAGAATCATAAACATATAGCTTCTTGTCAATGTTCTGGGGAATGGGCTGTATTTCAGTTCCCAGTTCCTGCTCGATCTTGTACAGATTGAAGCGGTCATCCCAATTGATGAGATTAATGGCAAGACCCAAGTGACCAAAACGACCAGATCGACCAATCCGGTGAAGGTATGTTTCGGCATTCTTCGGGAAGTCGAAATTTATGACAACATTCACAGCTTGAATATCGATACCTCGAGTGAGCAAATCGGAGCAGACGAGGTTGCGACACACACCATTGCGGAAGTCGTGGAAAACTCGGTTCCTGTGTTGCTGGAGCATTCGAGCGTGCGAGTAGAAGCAAGAGTAGCCCAACTCTGTAATCTTCTTCGCAAGAAGTTCAACTCGGTTGGTGGAGTTGCAGAAAATGATCGACTGGTTTATTTGAAGCTTTGAGAATAGGGTGTTCAGACAGTGGACCTTCTGCTTTTCCTCAACAAAAGCGTAGTATTGGGTGATTCCTCGGAGAGTAAGTTCGTCCATAAGGTTAATCTCATAAGGATTGCGCATATGTTTATCCTTCATGAAGCTTATTAGTGGACGGCTTGAAACGAACAAAAAATAGTCTCGACTTACCTTGAATGATTTGACAATTAACGGAAAGGTGGCACTGAAGAGCATCACCTGTCTATCTTTTGGGTGAAATGATAAGAGCTGCTCAATGACGGGTGTAAATTCAGGCGACAGCAACTTGTCAGCTTCATCCATGACGAATGTAGGACACTCCGAAAGATCCGCAACGCCCTTGCTGGCCAAGTCCAATACTCTTCCTGGAGTCCCCACGAGAATGTGCACAGCGTCGTTCAGTCTTATTATATCATCCATCAAACCTGTCCCTCCGGTAGTGACCATGACATTGATTCCCAAATGCTTTCCAAGTGTTTTGCAAACTTGGGATGTTTGGAGCGCAAGCTCTCTTGTTGGTACAAGGATAAGTGCTTGAGTCTTTGTGCTTTTAGGGTTGATGCGTTCCAGAGTAGGGATCACGAAAGCTGCTGTCTTGCCGGTGCCGTTCTTTGCGCGAGCCAGAATATCGCGGCCTGTAAGAGCGACTGGTATTGTTTCTTCTTGGATTGGAGAAGGTTTCTCAAACCCAGCCTCAAATATGCCCATCATAAGCTCTCGTTTGATATAAAAGTCTTCAAATTCAAGGCCTTTAGTGGCGGTCACATCCTACAACTCGGTCAGACATGATGCACATGCAAGAGTGACACCATCATTAAGCCACAAACCTCAGTCTGCGGTCTTGCGTCTTTCGCAGGCATATTCAATTGTTCTTTCCACCTCATTTCCGAGTTTGCTTCCCTGTAGAAAGGGTATGAGTTGAGTTATCTCGAACTGAAGACAGCGGCCACTTGGTAACGGAAACATACCCTAAGCTTGTAGTGTTGAGCTGATTTGCAAGAGCGTCTGCCATGATGAGCCAGAAGTAGGTAAAAAAAGAATGTCAAAAATTTTCCAAGTCTGGACAGAAACGGTAGGCCAGGTTATTCCAGGAATAAGACACGTGTTGTCGCAATGGAGTGTAAAGGAATAATCGATTGGAGAACCAGGATAGAAAGTCCTCGAAGTTGGGGTTTCGAATCCCAAGGATTTAAGAGGTAAGATTTGTATCAAGGCAAAAAAGTCTGCGTTCCTATTCAATCAATACAAGGCGAGTAAGGTTCCAGTTAGCGAGGTTATAAGTCGAATTTTGTTCGAATCTCCTCTGATGGGAACGAGGCTTGAAAGCTCAAGGTCTTCCGGGTTGAATGAGGATTATCGAGAGTATGCAAAGTTGAAGAAGAAGGGCGTACGGAGGTCGATTGGATAGCGGGAGATCGAGATTAGAAGCCCACAGACAATAGGACTTGAGTAAGGTAGATTTTAGATAGATAAGAAGAAGCCACGGCAGTAAATGCAAGGTGAATTTATTGGGATGTGGAGGAAAACTTCTGGTGTGAGTAGAGACGTACAGGTAAGTGAATAATAATGGAGATGGTGCGATGACCACTGACCAGTAGGTGATGAGTAGGGCCCTTGCCGCCTTCGAAGGGTCCACCACCTTACTGAGCAGTCAAAGTAACTAGCCAGTACCTGCCTACTCACTGCTCGAGTCACTATCTTCCACAACCTGGAAATGGTTTATCGCTTTCGAAGAGCACAAAGAGCACAAAGAGGCCGTCTCTATGCATTTTGCACATTTGAGCTACAATAAACAGGGATGATCGACCTACGTAATTTAAAGCTACTGAGCTTTCTTCGAGTACACCTTGCTGGACATTTTCCTATCTCAATCCGATTTCTATTCAGGGGGGTATATCTTAATCGGCGCTCGGAACGACGATGAAACCAAAAATCGAGACAGACCACTTAAGACTACTCCAAACAAATGACGGAGGAATCTGTAACTCAGGCATTTGATCCTGTTCAAAATAGAAGCCTCGTCTGGCCACGTTCTGGCTCTGCCAACCTACACGTATCCATTAGTCACAGCACATCACTATTTTCCGTATTCTGACGTACTCTTTCACTCGAACATCCGGAGCCAGGGTGATTTCAGCTCTAGAACCCGGTGTGATAAGTATGAATTGTCGCCCGATGGATCGCCGGGCAGCGAGCATCTGCCATGAACCGTTAAAGCAAATTCAGTATAGTTTGCTTCGCAAAGAGAACTCACGAGCATATCAATCGCCATTTTTCTGTTGATATGATCCATATATACGTCACTGTCAAAGTATCAATCAGTCAATGAGAAATATGACAGCACAGCGCTGACTTACAATTCATCCAGGCAACGGACTGGGGATCCCATGGCCTCCCAGAGCGCCAACAAGAGACAAACTTGCGAGAATGATTTCTCGCCGCCGGACAGAGTCTTTGCACCACGACCCGCACTGTCCTTTGTTATGTCAGGTTCGACCTAGGCAACTTGTCAGATCCAGTGACCATGCTCAACGGTACTCAACGTCACCTGCCTGTAAATCGAGGAGCTTGCCATTATGATCAGTCAAGAGTCGACCGCGAAAACTTCTTTCGCTCAAGAGGTATGTAAATTGAGCTTTGGCACGAGACGAAATGTGCGACCTGAAGATGAGCCAACGAGCTTTACGATGTCTCAGAGTCGCTTTGAGAACCTAGACAGACGGTTAGCAATGGGACATGTTCGGCTGGATGTAACCATTATACGTCAGCTAGCAGTTTAAATTCCTCAATTTGCTTCATCGCTCGTTGATAGGCCGCAGTGGCCCTTTCCACTTCAGCAGCGATTTCATCACGGGATCCTCCGAGTCTAGTACTCCGTCAGTAGGACAGTCAAGAAATTTCTGGTCTTATACTGACTGTTGATTGGAGCGTTGCAGATCACCGTGAAGTCTCTCGAGCTTCTTGGACAGAGTGTTCGCAGTTTGCCCTTCATCAATCGCAACACGTGGTGAAACTAGACTGGCTTTCTCCTCATATTCGACGACACGTGCGGCAACACAATCCCTTTCTTGTTGAATACTTGTTCTGTTGAGCTTGATGTCATTGACTCGCTCAATTGCTGTATTTTTAAGACCAATGATCTTCCGGCGCTTGTCTTGCACCAAGTGCTCCTCTCCTTGAGCAACTCGGAGCTCTTCCTGCAAGGTCGAGATTTCGGCATCTTTTGCGGAAAGCTCTTGCTTGGTCGCTTTCAATTTCCTCATCATGGCATCCATAGCATCCACACTGTCCTTCAAAGACCCTTCGTTTAGGCGTTTCTCTGCCTCGGCCTCTTGAAGAGTTGCTCGTAGCACATCCAGATGTCCATCCTCGACAGTCTCTCGTTCAAGCGCGTCAGTGAGCTCTTCCACTTGATCCTCTTGTCTTTGCAACATAACTTGTAATTCTTTTGATCTTCGCTTATGTCTCTCAATAGCTTGCTTACAGCTCTCTAGGCGAGATCGAGCGGAGCGCAATTGCTGTTCCTGATTGCTTAACTCGCGTCTAAGACCTGCTACTACATCACGCTGAATTCTGTGGGCATCGAATATTAGCGCTCATGGCAAGTCCCTAAATCGTTTATTCAAATAATCACCTCATTTGCGATTCTAAATCGGATTTCATCCGTGGACTTCCATTGTAGGCTTGGACTGGTGCCTGGCTGGGATCTCCTGTTCGACTGTAGGAAAGATGAATTCCTCGGCGCCGATCTGTCCGATCGATACAGTAGCATCGCTTCACATTTTTCGGGCGCTGGCCATCAAAGAGCACAGCTGAGGCATCTTCAAGCCTTTCAATCAGGAGCATCTGCTCTATGCCGTGATTTATAATCAACTGTCGGCGAACCAGTTCGTTGTCGATCTAAACCTCAGAGTTAGGCAACAGTCGCTTTTATTTCAGAACTGAAACTCAGATGAAGGAAAAAGGATTAACGGTGAAAGTCGTCAACTCACTTGAAGAATCCGCAGGGCTGTATCGTAGTGAGGTTCCGGCTCATGTTCCGACGTATCAATATGGCCATCACTTCCTATGAATATAGGGCACACGCTGAAGAAATGGTTTAGTCAAACCCACCTGGCGCAGGGCTCTGAAATCACTTACCAGCCAACCCTTTGCATAATGTGTGAAAGAATGTTCATATCTCGCCTCGAGGTCACAATGAAGCTGTTCAATGTGGTGCCAAGGGCGTTCTCCAATATAGATGACCACTCTGGTTTCAACAAGCTCACGTAATTTCCAATGGGGCCCACAGGTTTCCTGGAGAAGGACCGTTCGATTTCTACCTCTTTAAGGAGTGCTGGCATCCTTTCATGAAAACCTGTACGTCTGATTCCTTCCCTGTTGAGATTGCGTAAGTTGGACTCTGCCTGGTCGACCTCAGCCTTCATTTTGTCTATAGGAGCGGCAGCCAACTCGACTGCGTTCTCGGCTTCCTCAGCTGCTTGGTATAGCTGGCGAGCACTCTGTTGGTGCTCTTCGCACTGTCTCCGAATCTCAGCGGCCTCGGCCTTTGCTTGTTGGACTTGTTCCTCTTTTCGAGAATAGCTCCCTCCACTAAGGTCTGCCAGGCGCCGATTTTCGTCAGCAATCTGATTCTGAGTTTCGCGAATCCTTGTCTCTGTGGTTCTGAGATATTCCTTGATTTGACGTTGTTCGGCCTGCGCAAGACGATCAGAAGCTGAGAATGTCAGGCGTACGATAGTGAGGATACCTGCAGGTCATGGCGTTCGCTTAATTGTTCATCCAGTTTGGTTTTTATTTCGTTTCTTTCGCTCTGGGATTGATCGAGCCTGGAACTAGCTTGGTTCAGGAACTCCGCTGCAGCTGCGCATTCACGCTCTGTGTCCCGTATATTGACGTCAAAAACGCTCAATTGAGCCTCAGCAGTTGCTATCTCTCCGTCTGTCCGCGCGAGCTCGCCCTCCAAGGAGTCTCTCAACTAGTTATTTGTTAGACATAGGAATGCAGGCCCTACAGGCTATTTGACTTGCCTTTTCCTGTTCCTCAACCTGAGCCCAGGCCACTTGGTTCCGAACGTTCCTAATGCGTCTTCTGAGTGATTCCTGCTGATCTGATTTTTCCAATCTGCGATCCGCTGTATCTTTTAGATCTCTTAAGATCCTGATGTCTTGCTCTCTGTTTCTCAACTTCTCTTCAATTTGATCAGCAGATTCTTCGATAAGTCTGTAGTCTTGGTCCAGTTGCTCCAGCTGAACGCCCTTCACGAAAAACCTATACTTATCGGCAGGACTAGACGTGCTGAGAAATTGGCGAGCCATGTCTTGTGAGAGGACGTTCATGGGGTTATCAAATTGGAGTGTGAAGTAGTCAATGATTGAGTCAAGCTCCGCCTTCTTAGTGGAAATTATACGCCCATTTTCAGCCTTGATCTTGAATCCACTCGTGCCATTTTTGGAGAAGTGACGTTCTATTATGATTGACTTTCCGTAGTCATCAGGCATATAGGCTCCATCACCCTGGTTCTTGAGTCGCACGACGATAGTTGCACTTCTTTAGCGGAAAAAAATGGTTAGAAACCTGCAGTTCATATTGCAAGATGCGACTTACTCTTTCCCTTCTTTGATGAAGCTTTTCAGACTCTGACCACGGTTGGTCGCAGAAGCTTTACCACCCAAGCAGAGAGTTATGGCAGTGAGAACAGCGCTCTTTCCACTACCGTTCTTGCCCACGATAAAATTTATCAATGGGCCCAATTCGACTTGGAAATGATCGTGACACATGAAATTGTAACATTCGACGCGCTCAAGGATGCCGTGCTCAGCAGGGATATTCGGTTCTTCACTGGCGAAAGAGTATTTCTCTTGAATTGCTTGAGTAGCACGCAGTTCCAAATCATCCTCGTCATCATCCAGAGCCTCGGTGATGGAACAAGAACTCCTTGTCTCAGCATCGTTTGATTCGTTGTCTTCTTCCGAGGGTGACGCTTCAGACCTACGAATACGTTTGCGCTGTATAATCACGTCAACTTGCTGAATGTAGAACATCTAGTGATAGTCGTACCGAAGTGGACGTTGGAGATGTGCCGCCGCCTTCATCATTGAAGCTTTCGGGGTCCTGAGACGCCTGTAAGCGCTTCGCAGATGCCATCATCAAGGAGCGGATAAGTTTATAGTCACGAAGTTTCAATCATGTTCTTCTAGCAATGCATCGTGTCTTTCTGCTGCAGAGTATTTGCGAAAGCGAACACGGCTGTGCGTTAAGAAATGCCCAATGTGAGACTAAAAATGGAGTCCAGAACAACTATTAGCATCTATCGGCGAGTCGCGTCGCGTTCATGTTAACGGCATTCTTAAGTCCGAAATTTATCTCCATCGGGTCAAGTGACGTGGAGCAAAGCGGGAAGTCTACAGGTGCATCCTACTATGAGAGGTAGAGACAATGAGATCCTCCCACTTTTATTGACGGTCTGATTTACCTGCTACGTTGAGTCTAGCTTTAAATAGGGGGTTTGAAATGGGCAACTCGTGAATGAGAGGCAGATTGACTCCCACAGCCTTGAATGTTCTGCTACCCTGGCAAACTAAGACAGCTGAAATGCGCCTGTATTGCTAGAGTGTTGAACAGGACCCAGAATTGTAATTCAGTCTTTGAAAGACAACATTGCGAGCGCAGAAAACCAAGATGCCAACGGTGGAAGAGGCAATAGTAGTCAGGAATACATTGCATTATACCATAAACGAGTCTGGTCCTCAACGTGGAGATGGGTAACCACCATCCTAGACTTCGCCGACGGGCTCCTCCGCAACGTAGTGCAGATACGCACCAAGTAATTTGGTACCTTCGATGTAATTCTTCTTGTCCAGTTTCTCATTGACCGAGTGGGCAGCGTCGGTTGAGCTACCCATCGGCAGGAGTAATACATTCTTCCCTGTTGCTTGTTCAAAACTTAGAGTAACAGGAATGCTATGTCGATATTAGCCGATGTATCGCGATGTAGTAGTCAACACTGGAAAGTAAAACCCGAATAGTGTACGTACCTGCCGCCTTCACGAGTCATATCAGGTTCTACACCGAAGACCTGCTTAACAGCCTTGCTTGCAGCGGTGAAATTCCAGTGTTTGGGGCTAGCAACCCACCACTTTCCATCATGCTGAAGCCACACGTCCAGAGTATTTTTGCTATTCAGCTTGGCAAATTCTGCTTTGATGTAGTCGAACACAAGCTTGTTCACATCTTCACTTTCCATATTTGGAACGGTTCGAATGGAAAACTTCCCGATAACCTTCGCTGGTATAACAGTTTTGGCGCCAGGGGCGGAGAATGCGCCCTCGATGCCATGGATAGATAGGGATGGGTACCTCCATCTTGCCATGAGTGTTCTCTCTTTTGTTGCATGAATATTCGTCTTACTACCTAGCGACTCGTGGAGATTCTCCATCGTATAGCTGATCTTGCCGTACAATGAGTTTTCCTCTTCGGTGAGGGGCGCAACGAGGTCCATAATGCCAGGAATCAAGATGTTGCCCTGAGGGTCAACAAGTTTCGACAAGATGTTCACCATGTCCGTCATCGGCTCATGGGTAGAACCACCAAAAACACCGCTGTGTAGGTCTTGGGCGGGTCCTGAAATACTGACGGAGTAATAGTTACAACCCCGCAAACCGTACGTCAGGCAGGGCTTCTCAGTTCCGAGCCAGTAGTTGTCCGAGATGCAAACAGCGTCTGCGTCCTTGAAAAACTTCTTGCTTTCGGATTGAATGAACTCCTCCAAACCTTCCGAGCCGTACTCCTCCATGCCCTCGAAGCAACAGAGAAGGTTGACAGGCAGCTCGACACCGGCTTTTTGGTGGGCTTCAATGACATTCAGCCAACCTAAAACAGGACCTTTGTCGTCTGTACTTCCACGGCCGAACATTCTTCCTTGATCGTCTACAGTCAATTCAAAAGGTTCAGTAGCCCAGCCATCTTCTTTGAGGGCAGGCTGCACATCATAATGACCATAGACTAAGATCGTCCGCTTGGTTTTATCGTTGCCATACCGAGCGATGACAACAGGGGGAAGGTCAAGATGCTCTTTGCCTGGTTGTTTACCCAAGGGTCGTTGTTCAACTTCGGCCCCAAGTGCCTCTAGTTCGGAGGCAAGGAAATGCGCCATCTTTAAAGATCGAACACGTTATCAGTCCGTCTCTAAAAATGTTTCCTGCACTGCTTACCCTGACGACATCCTTCCTGTTCTCATCATGCGCAGAAATAGATGGAATCGCGACAGCTTTTCGCAACCCTTGGCTTTAGTTAGTATGTGTTAAGTGGGAATCAAACCAAAGGGCCATACGGTCGATAAAAGAGTTTGACAATTCATCAACCCTGAGAACAATTCAGATTGTGGACATCAGTCTATGGAATATTCCACAAAAATCCCAGGGAGTACAAACGTACTGCGTGAAAAATGGTTCCAGTTGCGGCGCCATTTTTTGGTCACTAATGTTTCCGTAAAAGAATCGGCGAGAGTAGGTATGGTTCTTTTTTGGATAGCTAACTTGTGATCCCCAGCACTTTCTTTTGATAACAGATTGAGGATATCCTTTGTAGAGCTTATGAAGAGTTTGGTCTGCCAGGGACGTTGCAATGCGACGGAGAGGGAGGGGCATTTGGGCGGCTACAGTAGGAATCACCTATGGTTTGTCGGATGAATCATTATTGGATGATTATTGGAGAGCTCTTACCTAAACGTGGAGCCGAAAATCGAGATGTCTACGCTCACACGCGACTTCTTTTTTTCCCTGCCGCGACTAGGCGAACCACAGTCCGAATCGAACATGCAGAGCGGAATAACTCGGTTATTTCATTTCTTATTCTATTTGAAACATAGCAAAACAAATTGTAAAGCTTGAATAATTATAGCCGTATTATGAGAAGATGCAAATATGGTAAATTGTGATTCAGCACCATGCTATGCCTATAATACATCTGGAATCACACAAACACATCAGAATTGATGGAAAAAGCACAGTGAGGGGGTCAAAGAAAGTAGGGACGTAATAAATTAAGTCTTTGAATATAACATAGAATGTGTACTATTCAATATTCATTCATCCTTGCCCCAGGATTCTTTCCGCAATTGACGGTCTTCTCGGGCCATCCGTCTTTTCAGACCCCATCTCGACTGGACAGCTTCCAATACCTGTCTCTGAATTTCCTTCTTCTGAGGGCTGGCTTCGCAGACCATACCGATGAACATCGGAGAGCAGTCATATCGCTTGGCTAATTTCCACCTGCTCCAAGTCATAGGGTCGCTGAGTCTCAGTTTGCGGATTTCCTCAATATCAGACGGAGTCAGGTGATACTTTTTCTCCGTTGGCGAATTGAATACAGGAGGAAGATCTTCGGGGTTCTGATCACTTTTCATTGACGCGTCACTGCGGAGGGTTCTCCGAGCATCATCAGGGGGAAGAAATTTTGTCGGCGTATGAAAGACAGACGGAGCGCTCGAAGGAGGATTGAAGATAATGTGATCCTGAGATTGATCCGAGGAAGAGCCAAAAGAGGCATCCGGCTTAACGCGAAGACGTTGTTTCGTACGTCTGTATGAAGACTGATTTCGGCGCAACTCTAGGGCGACCGGCTCGCACGAGGGTATTAGAAACGGCAAGGTTATGAACGGCCTCTTCGAAACAGCACTGAAAGTTGCCATTGTGGAATTTGGATGCTTGGGAATTGGTTCCAGTATCTAAGCGATACAGGCAAAGGCAAATGGCGATTGAATTTGACCCTGGTGCCGGAAACCTAGAATACAATCAATTATTAGCGGGAGACAATAATCGAAGGAAGATGTGCTTGCAATGACAACAAATGGACGTACTGCCTCTAAAGTCAATGTTTAAGTAATTTTCCGTGCACCCAACCTAGACCAGTTACGAAGGACGGAATCTCAAAGTTTGGTTTGGGATGAAATGCCAACATTTTTCCGAATTATTGAAGGTCCCGTGACAGCCGAATGATTTGGGGGTGGCACCTGGCTGGGTAATTATACGGTAAACAATTAGTTGGGGTACGTTCAAGGTATTGTCATATTCGTGCATACCTAAGGTACTCATCCACCTACAGGTACCTTACGATAGTCCCTCCTCAAGTCCCGTCTCCAACCTATGGGTAATATATATTATATCGTCAGTCCATATTTTGTTTGTGCGTAAAAAGAGCTAAAGTATCTGTGTACTTAAGGTGCTTTATACACCCCGGTAAGGTAGGTAGAGAAAAGCACTGCACTATATCATAGGCAGGGTATATGCAGGCCTGCCCTGGTGTCTTTAGGATTCCTGGGGTGAGAAGTTTTCTTCATATTGGTGAGACGTATCTACAAAGCTATGGTATCTCTGGTTGCAAGGCACCTTCCTCACTACACAGGTAGGTATAAAGTAGGTACTCTGTATGAATGTAAAATTAGTATGAATTCCATGGATTGTTGAGATAATTCTAATCAAATAAGTATAAAGGTACCTACGGAGTATAGAAAGTTGCTTGATAAAATCCTCAGTTCGACCACTCATCAGAAACAACCTAAGCTTTGAAGTAATAGGTGTACATGCTGGCACTGGGCACATACTGTATTCAGTTAGTTACCTATGTCTACCTTAGGTAAGGTAGGTAAGGTAAGATGTTATGAAAACAGAGTACTCCGCACCTTACCTCATTTTTCTAAGTACCTGTCGTTTTCCACCTGAAAGCTCTAGATGCATCCATCCCTTTATCTACGCCATCAGAAGCCCAATATCACACAATAGTGATGGCTCTTTGTCAATCTCCCCGCGTCGACCACGACTTATTACCAACTGATAATCTGCTACCATACAATGGCCTTCCTCAAGCATTTCTTCTGATTTATCTGTATCTGGTTGCTTTAACATAGTTTAATCGCAATATTGCTTTTAGCGGATGTTTATGTTTCCATGGTCCTTGAGCCAGCCTACTTTCTAATCTGTGTCAGATAACAGAGTTCAACGTCATACCCCCGGCCACCTTAAGCAATAACTCAGATCATCCGACCTGCCTGACTTCACTCCAGGTTTTGCGAAACCTTGTCTTATTTCTCCTCCTCAACGTATTTTGATGCGACATCTTCGTTTCTCGCCCCCAACGCCTATTAAGTTTGGTTACGTTTCTGCACGCGTCAGCTCTCGTGCTGACTCTACTACTCGCATGGGAGCAAGTAGCTCCGAATCTGGTTGATTCATTGCTAAATGTGCAAAAATACTTCACTTTTATATGACACCACTTGGAGCCAAACGCATAAAAGAATCAGGGAGCTTAGTGTATCTCTAAGGATCAGGAGCTACCCGGGGAGTCCTACACTTGCACAGAACGCGCTCAACAAGGTGTTCAAACCTTTAGCACCGGAGTAGTGATGTGCGAAGCTGTTACGGCAAATTCATTACGGCATAGAGTACAGGTCTGCCCCACTGCCATGGATACGCAGGGTTGTCCAGACTCGATAATCCATCGCCGAGGGAGCAGTCACTTGAATGAAGAGCCACTAAGAACCTTTCCACGAGGCCAACGGGGAGATATTGAGGACACATCTATCGACAATTTCCAATCACATGTCACTGACCAAAGCCGAATTGAATCGGAACGCCAGCGCAACTTAAGAGAAGACAACAAGATTGAAAATGGTGACCAGATAGCTTCGGCCGCCCTACCGGGTACACATGTGTCAGCTGCTGGTGTGCGCCCCAAGTCATCCGACATGTATCCTAGCCTATCATATACACCGGGACATCTCTCCAGATCGGCTTCACCAGATTGCATAGATCAGTCAGGCTCAGGGATCCCAATCTCCTTGTCGTCCTCAATCTTTGAGCGCGACGTGCAAAAAGATCTGTTACCAGTGCATACTTCACCTTCGATCCCTTCACATATAAGTATGGAGAACCATATTCCCCCTGTACTGGAGGCATCCTCCGTCGCAATCACCGACGACCGCCTTAGCCCAGATACAGTCGAGATCGTCACACGTAACGTCCACCAATCTGCTACAGCGGGAGTTTGTGGTGCCTTCGCTGTAGAGCCCTCGCTGCGATCTTCGTGTTTTGAGCACGTTAGAGATGGTTCCGAGGATTTGGAAGAGCCTCATCCGCCATGCAAGACTCGGGAAAGTACTAATGTACGAAGGTTGAGCTTCGTATCATTCGCTGACGTCGTCAATGCTGAACATGCGGAAGCTACCGATTTTCTGTCTAGTCGTGAATCCTCTCACCAGTCACCCTTAATGCGAAACAGCTCTCCATCGCCATTACGTTCCCCAAGGCTCCTTCATGAATTGGATACATGTCCGGTCACTAGCACCCCGAATTCGATCAAGGCATCGGACCTTTCTTCAAGTAGGGAAAGTTTTGCTGCAGGTAGTCCACGGTTGGCCCTCCAAAGGCCAATCTCCCCTAACGTCGGTGGCGAGTTTAACATAGAGACGATGCGACAGGCGTTGAGACGAACATGTAGCGAGGACTTGATAATTGCCAAAGACAACTGATTTTTTCAAATCAAAACCATGGCGAGGATGCTAACGATCAAACAAGATGTTGAAATATCTTCGTGGGGCTTTTTGTACCTTGTTGCCTTGATTGTTATTAGAAAGGCAAATCCTCGGGGATCTGGTTTATTCATTCAGGTATATAGTTCTAAGGAAGGCATATCGATCTCTGTGATAGCGAGTAGCTTCTCGTTCCGTCCTGCATTCTTTGCTGAACTTTAAAGATGTTGAATGGATACTAGGGTGGACATCATTTTCGTTAGAGTAATATGGGCCCAACAAGTTTCATCGTCGAGGGATGCCGTTGCAGACGAGCCGATCATTCATTATGCAATGCCAACCACTTTCAGGCCTCTGACTAATCGCCGCATACCGCCACTTATTTTGATTATATTCTTTTCTGCCGGCGGATACGCAGCAATAACAGTGGAGAACGAGTCCGTTTCGTAGGTGTTGCCGAGCGAGACCGTAGCCCCGTTACCAAGATAACCGAGCTTCAGAATCCAAGAAATCAATACTGATTTAAGCCTTCGCTTCTGCGGCTGCCGCGAGGGCTCGCTGGACTTGGTCGCGGAGATCCGATACATCCTCCAAACCCACGCTTATTCTCACCAAATTCGACTCGACACCAAACGAAGCAGCCTGCAATGGGCAGTAAGCGGAGGGCTCTAATCCAGGGGAAGGGAGCGAAACATCGAACCACAGAGGGAGAAATGGGGGCGAACACGCGATACTTACCCAGTCGAGCTCATTGTAATGTGCGAGTAGCGTATATGGCGAACTGGTTCAACGCGTAAGCCAAAGCTTGCCAGAAGAACGAGTAGAGGGGCGTATATGGACACTCACCTGAGCGTGAAATTTGTTCCAAGGCTAGGGCCTTTGAGAACTTCGAGGTGATCGAAAAAAGCGATGGCTTCAGCGTCAGAGTGGAAGGTGACGGAG